CTCCACAGGAGAAAGGTGAGGCAGCCTGCTTCCATAAAGGTTACAGCTTTGGAATCCCTACTCTGTTCTATAGGGTCTCTACAAGTCAAAACTGACTCAGTGGCAATGGGGCAATCTTTATGGGAGCAGATCACCAGGTCTCCTGTCCTATGGAGTGGCTGCTGGGTTCCAACTGTGGACTTTCGTTTAGCAGCTGAGTGCTTAAGCATTGCACTGCCAGAGCTCTTTTCTATAAAACTGGCAGCCTAGAAACTCTGATGGAGCAGTTGTATTTTGTCACACGGGGTCACTATGAGTAAGAGTTGACTAGATGGCACCCACCAACATGGCTGGTCTAGCACAGTGCTTGGTACATAAAGGGCGCTTAATACATTTTGGCTTTCAGTGATTATACAAAATCGTCCCCATGCCCAGGAAAGAAACTGAGTCTTAGAAAGTTTACCCAATCTTGTCTTGGCTTCCACATCTATAAAAGGAAGGGAATGAATTAGAAGAAGTCTATGGACTCTTTGAGTGAAAAAAACAAAAACAAAACAAAACAAAAAAACCTTGGGAGAGGAGGCCTTGAGAACATTTCTAAGAATGGAGTAGAAATGCTGAGTTTTAAGATATGTAAGAACCAGAGGTGCTGTGGTGGTTCAGTGATTAGGTGCTAGGCTACTAAACAAAAGTTTGGCTGTTTGATCCCACCAGCCACTTGACGGCAGAAAGATGAGGCAGTCAGCTTCCATAAAGATTACAGCCTGGAAACCCCATGAGGTAGTTCTACTCTGTCCTCTAGGGGCGCTGTGAGTTGGAATTCACTTGACGGCAATGGGTTTTATAAGAACCAGAGGTGGAGAAGAGGCTAGAATCTTGCACTTTACCTGTTCCGTAGCTGTTTGTGGGGATGACACTGTTATTCCTTTTGCCAAAAATCTGTGGGACTGCAGAGAAAATCAGTAGTTGGTCAGTTTGAAGGTGGTTGCATGATGAACATGACAGCATATATCACCACAGGGGCTGGTGGCTTCTGTGACTCTTAGTGTGAGGTATTGGCCTCTGCGGCCCAGGTCAGTGGGGTACATCAGTGGGGTTTACTGTGTTTCTTGTGCAGATGTTGACTGACTCATAGTTCTCTCTTGCTCTCTGAAGAATCTGAAGGGATTGCACCTTCAGATTTGGCAATAAAGACTGCATCCTCACCCAAGTGCAGTTTCCTAACCACATCATTTCCTTTCTCTTTAATTTTTTCCACTGAGTCTACTTGCTGCAATTGCAGTGGAATGAAGCCTCTTTTTGTAAGCATTTGAAAGAATTAATTTCTATGTACACAGACAGAAATTTCTCTCTTGGTTAAATACCATTACCCTATAATTCAGCTATTACCACATTATTTGATCAAACTTGAACTGTATTTTCAAAATTTATCAGCAATAACTACCATTTCTGAGTACTTTGGGTAAGATTACTCAACCAATTCTCATGTAACAAAAGCTTTGTATAGGGTTCTAAGCATCAGACACTGGTAAGTTCTTTATCTCCAAAACAGAACAAAGAACCTGGCCCATTGTGTGTGCCAAGGAGTGGGAAGGGCATTGTCAACTGACCTCAAGTGGAAAGACTTGAGCAATCAACCTTTACACTCAACCTTGCCTCCTGAGAGGAGTCAAAGAATAGGATCACATGGGGCAGGGATCGGAAGTTGCTTGAATACTCACGATAGAGGAGGAAAAAGGTCATTCCAATGACTTTCAGGACCACCAAAATCAACCCCGAGATAATCATGTTCCAGTTCATGATGGCTAAGAAGAGGGGCTGCAGGGACCAGAGCACAGAGCTGTCAGAATCTGGGCATGTGGCTTCTTGTCATCTTCACGGGCTTGGAAGATAGGGACTCCATGAACAGGTACAAGGAGGAGATTCTGCACCTCCCCAGAGCACAGGTGGGATCTTGTGATGGTGGGGAATCTTTAAGCCCAGCATGCTGCCTTGCTTCACCCATTCCCCAGCTCTGGGCTTCAGCCTCATCCTCCTCTCTGGGCCCTAAACTTTTCGTGAATACACCACACACTGCCAGGAGAACAAACCAATCAGTTTAGGGAAATACAACCATCGTGCTCCTAGAAGCAAGGATGGAGAGACTTTGGTTTGCTTACTTTGGACACCCCATCAGGTCAGATAATTGCTAGAAAAGGCATCATGGTTGGTAAAGCAAAGGGTTGGCAAAAATGAAGGAAGCCATCAATGAGATGGATTGACCGTTAACCTCAACAACCAATGGTTATGAATATGGCACAAGACTGGGCAGTATTTGGTTTTGTTGTTCTTAGGGTTGCCACGTGTTGGAGTTGACTCAATGACAATGAACAACAACAATAACAACAACAACAGCAACACCAAACAAACAAACTCTTCTAATGAAATAAACCCTCTTTCAGGCGTTGAGAACAATCAGCTTTGAAGTAGGCTGTGCTCTGTGGACCCTGATTTGTGGTCTTGGCCATACTGCCTTCAGCCATTGAGGTGTCTGACAGCCAGGACAGGCATCTCAGAGGGTCTTGGTATTGGCAAAGAGCCTAACCTCTGTGCAGCTAGACAGACAGACTCACCTGCTCTCCCCTGGAGGATGAGCTGGCAGGCAGATGGTGTGGTGGGCAGAGACCCTTTCTCTTGGGAAGATGCCCTTCTGCCCGGGTTGTGTCCTGCCTCCTCAATCTCTCTCTCTGAGCAGTAATCCTGGACAAGCACCACTTCCTGTTCTGCGTTCTTGAAATGGGAGCAGGCGGGGTAAGGACAGGA